AGCCCCCCCCCCCCCAGAGGGGGCGGATGTGTTTGCCCCTGCTCAGGACAGTCCTGAAAGGTCTAAGCCGAAAGCCACAGAGATGAGAGAGTCAAACCTACACAGCTGTCCCCTGGAGCCTGAGACTGTGTGCCACCTCGGGCCTCTGCCTGGACACCGTGGCCCAGTGGCCACAGGAAGCCTAAGGAATCCCACAGAGTGGCAGGCCATTATAGCCACTCGGGGGCCTGAGGCAGAAGGATCACAAGTTTGAGGCTATCCCAGGCATCTCAAAATAAAAATTGTTAGAAAGGCAGCTCAGAAGTGGGGTACTCTCTGGTATGTGGAAGGGCCTGAGTTCAAACAAGCCCACGAATTTTGAATGTCAAGGCCAGAAGCTAGCAAGCAGATCACCGATCAGCAGCTTGCTCAGGCTGAGCCTCTGGGCCCTGCCGCTGTGGGGGGCATACTCTGACGTGAGCAGACAGAACTCTGTTTCCTTGTCTGCCCAATGGGGATGGAACTCCGGCATCCCTAGGAGAGAAACACAAAGCCCCTGACTGTCAAATGGCTCCCTTCCTGGCGGACACTCACTGCTAAGGACAGGGCTGTCTGGGAGGCTGCCTGGGCCAGGCGTCCTCCTCCGTCCTGGTCCAACCCAGAGGAGGTGGCACCCTTGGGGCCTGGCTGTCTGTGCAGAGCTCCCGTCGTGCTCCTCATGTGGACGTGCTGCTCTCAGGGGAACCGTGTCCAAAGCCTTCTTGGCTGCAGCCTGGGCCCTGTCCAAAGCCACGAAAGGGCCCTTTGTTGGAGATTTGTTCTCAAGTCTAGAAAGGCAAGGCCGCAGCAGCCGGGGTCCGCCCTGTGTGTAGCCCCCAAAGCCCGAGTTCATCCTTGGTGGTCCCTCCCCGCTCACACCCTCTGCCCTGTCTGGGCCTCCAGGTGTGCAGTCTCGGCTCTCTGTCCTACACTCAGAGCCAGCTCCTGAAGACCTCCACTCCAGTCCAGACCCTTCTCAGACTCTCCTGCCAAAGATACTTAAGGCCCCTGGGCGTCACTGCCTTTTTTGTGCCCGTATTTCATCTAAATTCTCACACGCCCTCTCTGATAGGACAGCCAGGAAAATGCAGCACGTTCCTTCATCTGCCTGTTCATTTGCTCCCCAGGCGCCTCACGGCCTGGTGGGCCTGGTGGAGGGGCTGTGGTGGTGCTGGGCTGCAGAGAGCAAGGCTGTTGCTGAGCTTGGGGCTACCCTTCTCTCCCTCTGGCTGTCCCTGAGGACTTTAGGAGGAGGCAGGTGGAGGAGGAAGCCTGCTTATTGTCCCCAGGCTCTGGAGGAGCTGCAGGGACAGCGGTTTCCTTGCCCAGCAGAGTCCTTTCATTGCAAACAGCATGATTTCACAAATCAAAGGCAGACCTTGTCGTAACAAGACCGATGCCAACGACAGCATGGCGCGTGACTGTGCCCCTATGCCCAGAGCAGCAGCAGAGCCACAGCGAGTGGCAGAGTCAGGCCTCAGACCCAAGGCAGTGATTCCAGTTTGGCCCTTAGCGGCTGTACTCAAAGCCTATACCACAGGTGAGCTCTTAGCTAAGGGGCCTTGGGGCTGTTTCTTTCTGCGCAGCACTAGTGATACAGGAGATGAAACAGGACCTCCAAGTGATATCAGGGAAATGCCATGACTCCCAAACTGTCAGGTGTCTGAGGCCACATGGGTACAATGTGGGTTACAGCTGGGATCAACCAATGGGGATTCAAGTGCAGGGGCTTAGGTAGTAGCGACCCAGTGAGTCACGTAGCAAGTGTACGTGAAGAACAAAGAGCTTCGCAGGAGGCCGGCCCCGAGGATCCTGGTCCCCCCAGAGGTGATCGCTGTCGGTCTGGACTTCACTGTGCCAGGTGTTACCACTTACCTTGTCCTTGGGGAAGTTTGTGGGCCTGGTCGTTTTCTCTGTATCTTAAAGCCCTGCCTCCAGGGCTGTGTTCTCATCCTCTGCACCTACTCCCGGAGGGCCCAGCCCCATGTGGCCACCTACACGACTTCTGCCTCACTTAGCTGTCCACAGTGTCAGCGCAGCAGTGATGACGCTGTCTGGCTGCTTGCTGCCCACCACCCCAGTCCTCTGCACGCGTGTCCTAATCTGGGCTCCTCTGCCGTGATTTGGACCCCAGCCATGTGCCAGGCACGGCCTGGGCAAGCGCATGCATCACTCATTACCGCTCCATGCGGGCTGGAAACCCATGTGGCCGTGGGTTGTCCTCATTGTGTCATTGTTTTGTTTTGCGTAACTTGCAAGGGGTGTGGTTGTGCAGCACAGATCATTCTGTGTAGTCAGGTGATCCTGGCAGCAGTTTTGGTAACTGTTCCAAGCCTTAGGGTCTAGCAAGGAGGAAACTGGTCTGCTCTGACTAACAGGTGTGACAGCACCAGCCCTGGGGTTGAGTCCAGGCCCCTGCAGCAGGGTAGAACGCAGGACAGGAAGCCAGCCAGCAGCCCTGAAGTTTTTTGCAAGTGGTTTGGCCTCCCTCTTGTCTTTGCGTCTTGCTGTTCCTCTTTATTAAGATGAAACAGGCGGGTGTGTGTGTGTGTGTGTGTGTGTGTGTGTGTGTGTAGGTCCCTTTCTCTCCACCCCTCTCCCCTCCTCAGACCCCCTGAGGCCCAGGCTTTGTGTCAGGGACGCCTCAGCAGGGAGGCCTCTAGGCTCTGTCCAGGAGAGCAGTGGAAAGAACAGGCTGGGATTGGCTGTGGCCAGAATCTGGGTAAGAGACAGCGGCAGGGAGGCCGGGCTGGGGGTGCTGGCTGTCTGTGGCCATGGAAATGTCCCAGGGCCCAGCGTCCCCCATGCCTGGAGTCAGGTGGAGAGCTCTGCCACGCTCTTCTGAGCAGCTCTTTGTTCCCATCTAAGGATCAAAGGGAAAGTGGCTGGGCCTTGTCGGTTCTTTGAATTCCATGGACCCCCAGCTGGTCTACCAGGAGGAAGTAGGGGGTGGGAGTAGCCCGGAGGGCTTTGTTTTCCTTTGTGTCCTGGGACCAGGCCCCCTCTGTCCCACCGTCCCCCTCCCTCTGGGCAGGCCCTGACTCCTTGGAAAGCCTGCATCCCATCCATACAGCCTCAGCTCTGCCTGCCCGTGGCAGCCTGGGGCTCTGCTGTGCTGAAGCAGGGAGTGTGCAGAACACAGGGTGGAGCAGGGAAGGGGGCCCTGCCTCAGGACTTCCCACGGTGCTCCTGGAAGGGCCTAATGCATTTCCGCATCCTGGCGCCTGGCTCACCGGGATGGGCAGCCACCCTGAGAAGTACCAGCCCAAGCCATGCCAGTGTGCCTGGGACATGGCTAGTGTGTGGCATCTCTGGTTAGCTGGCACCTACGGTGGCAGGTATAGCAGTCAGAGGGCCTGGGGATATAGCTCAGAAACTGCCCAAGCCTCGGGCTCCTGCCTGTGGGATGGGGCTGGTAGCCCTCATGCCACCTGAGGAGCTTGCCTGCGTGAAGAGCCTTAGTGAACAAGTCCGCCTCCACCCTGCTCCGTCCCTTCCCGGACAGACGGAAGGATCTGTCTCTGTGTAGGGGCAGCAGGATGCTTCCTTGGCAGTGGTCTCACTGTGGGGAAACTTGGGTCCTGGCCCACTGAGATGCCAGGCCTAGGATGTGGTGTTCCGGGCACAGTCAGTGATCTGAGGCTGAGACAGCTGTGGGGCCCCT